TTATAGATCTCTTTTCTGCAGTTAAGAGTAATACATCCTTGACCCTTAGGATTTGTCAATATTCAGTTTGTCTTTGATGCTATAATTGATGCATCATTTTATTACCATAGTCAAGGTAACATAATTGTTGCTATTAATTATTTTCTTGGAATGCCAGTATCTGGAATGCATTGGGATCATTAACAATACTCTGACCTATTCCTAGAGAACTGAATGGTGGTCCAAGTTTGCTACAACTTCCCATATCAAATAAATGGAGTCGGTTGGACTGTAAGACAGAGATAAAGACCAATAGTTAGCTCTGCCCAGAGGACACCACTGAAAATCAGACATTAACTAAGATGTCTGTATAGTGGAAAGCTTTGTATCTAGTATGATCAACTTCAACAAGGGAGGGGGAGAGAGAAACAAGGCAACAACAACAAAATGCCTCCAGGAACTCCCAGCTCCACCAAAGCTGATCCATGGGGCATCAAAAGGAAGGAAAATAAAAGCCATGTAGCTGGAGTATTTTAAATAATATCAGAAAAGGCAACAAAACAGATCAATAAGGCATTTGGCAAGCTCAGAGAAGTGAACAGATAGTGGGCCAAATAAAACAATCAAGGAGTTTGTAGTACATACTAATAAAAACTTAGCAGAACTAAGCAAAACATAAATGACCAGCATAAAATATAATTACAGTTTATAAAAAGGTACCAACTAGAAATTAGGGAAATTAAAAATTATAAGAGCACAGATGTGACCAGTGTGAGGACAGAATGTCAAAACTAGAAGACAGGGCTGCTATTGGTGACCGAGTAATGAAAAACACCTTTAAAAAAAAAAAAAAAAACAAGAAAGATGAGTCCAAATATGGATGCAAAGAAGACAAAGATTAATTGGAACTAGTGAGAAATCAGAAGATAGCACAAATGGCATTATAAATCTATTAATGAAATAACAGCAATCAGAAAACCCTCCAAATAAGGGAAAACAGCATATAGATAAGTGAGGCATTTAGAACCTCAAATAACTATAATAAAAAATGAATCTCTCCAGGAACATCACAGTGAAAATCTCAGAAGTCCAAGACAAGAACAGAACCTTAAAGGTGGTTAGAAAAAAACAACATATCACTTATAAAGGTAAACCCATTAAAATTATAGCAGACTTCTCAACACAAACTTTAAAGACCAAGAGAGCTGGGAGTGAAGTGTTTCAAGCCCTTAAAAAAAAAAAAAAAAAAAAACAATTTCCAACCCAGGATAATATGTCCTGCAAAACTATCTTTCAGAATTAATGGAGAGCTAGGATAGTCCCAGGATAAAGAATACGTAAAGAAATTCATGACCACCAAACCAGCTGTCAAAGAAATTCTCAAGGATATCCTAGGAAGAAACAATGAAGCTAACAATGACAGAAGTTCCAGTAGAATGAATATGTCACTTAGGGTGAACAGTAAGTGGAAAGGAGAGATAGAGAACCAGCAACAAAAAAATCAGGCAGTCAATGCCTGTCAGTAATAACGTTGGTAATTCCCCATTCAAAAGCCATAGCTTGGCAGAATGGATCAAGAAAAAAAATCCAGCAGTGTGCTGCATATTTAAAAAAAAAAAAAAAAAACACTTAACCCAGAAAGAGAGTCATAGACTAAAAATCAAAAGGATGGAAAATAATATTCAAGGCCATGAGAATCCAAAAAACAGTAGATATAGATAATTATAATGGTGGACCTCAGTACCACACTATCACAAATACACAGACAAAATGAACAAAAAAAAATCACAGTTGAACAAAACCTTCAAGTAAATGAATTTAATAGGTATCTACAGTGTTCCACACAGCAACAACAGAATACATATTCTTCTCGACAGGACATGGAACTTTCTCCAAAACAGAGCACATACTAGCCAATGAAGCATGCCTCAGTAAATATTAAAGAACTGAAATTATACCAAGCATATTATCAAATCACAACACAATGAAACCAGAAATCAACAACAAACACAAATTATGCAAATATATGAAAACCAAGCAATATCCTCTTAAACAAACAGTGGGTTACAGAAGAAATCAAAGAAAAAAGAAGAAGCCGTACAACATATCAGAACTTAGGGAATACAGTGAAAGCTGTCCTAACAGGGAAGTTTATGAATATGTTCCTCACAAAAACAGAGCAAACCCAAATAAATAACCCAACAATACATCTCAGAGTCCTTAAAAAAAAAGAAAAGAAAAGAAAAAAAAGAATTGAACCCCACAGATAGTACTAAGAAGGAAATTATAAAGATGAAAGCAGCTGGGCATGGTGGTACGTACCTGTAGTCCCTGCACTGAGGTGGCTGAGGCAGAAGGGTCGCCAGGGGTTTGAGTCCAGCCTAGACTACCTAGTGAGTTCAAGGCCAGCATGAACTCCATAGCAGGACCCTGTCTCAAAACAAACAAGCAGAAATCAATGAAATTGAGATCAAGTAAACAATATAAACAATGAATGAAGAGCTGGTTTTTGAAAGAATAAACAAAATAGACCAGCCCTTAACCACTCTACCAAAGAAGGACAGAAAAGACACAAATCAATGCAAATAAAATGAAAAAAGTGAAATCATAATCAGTACTGGTAAAATCAAAAAGATGACTGACAATTACTTTGCAAACCTGCTTGCCAATGAATTGGAGAATTTACAGTAAATGGATAGATTCTTAGATACATATGAATTAACAAAACTGAACCAGAAAAAGATTTAAAAACTCTAAATAGGGCCAAGGATTTAGCTCAGCAGCATAGGCACCTGCCTGGCTAGCACAAGGTCGTGAGTTCGATCCCCACTACAAAAAAAAAAAAATTGTGAGCCCCAAAAACTCTAAATAATCCAACAACAAGCAGTGAAATAAACCTACGAAGAAAAATCCAGGTTCCAACAGACACACTCCTGAATTCATTAAGAACTTCCAACACCAGTACTCCTCAACCTCTAGTGAAATTGAAAGGGAAGGAAGAAGTACTCCCAAAGCTATTTCTGGAAGCTAGCATTATTCTGATTCTAAAACCAGGAAATGGACTCAACCAAAAAATACACAAATAATAAAAATAAAAAGAACTACAGGCCAATCTCTTTAATGAATACAGATGCAAAAATGGTCACAAGATACTGGAAAATAGAAATCATTAAGTGATCAAAAAGACCATTCATCATAACCAGGTAAGCTTCATCCCAGAGATGCAGAGATAATTCACCATCCAAAAATCGATAAGAAAAGCAGAAGCAAGGACATAAAAATCATATGATCATCTCAACAGACACAGAAAAAGTCTTTGACAAAATCCAACATCCTTTCATGATAAAACTCTGAAGAAAATAGCTATAAAAGGACTTTATCTCAATTGGATAAAAGCCATTTATGCCAACCTACTGCCAACATCTTATTAAGTGAGGAAGGCTGAAAGCTTTCTAACATTAGGAACAAGACAAGGATGTCCATTATCCCCACTCCTTCTCAGCAGTACACAAAACATTAGCAAGAGCAGGTAAGCAGGGAAAGGAAATAAAAGGGATATATGTAAGAAAGGAAGAAGTCAAATTGTTATTTGCAAATGGCATGACTCTTTACAGAGAAGACCCAAAAATTCCACCAAAAGACTCCAAGAATTAATAACCAAATTCAGAAATGTAGCAGGATACAAAATCAACACAAAAGTCAATCACATTCCTACATGAAATAATGAATCTACTGAGAGATTAGAAAATGAAAATTGTGTTCACAATGGCACCAAGAAAAAATACTTAGTTGAAAGAATGTGAAAGACATCTACACTGAAAACTACAGTATTCTGTAAAAGGAAATTAAACAGGACATTAGAAAATCAAAAGATATCCCCCTTCCTGAATAAATAGAACCAGTATAGTCAAAATGGCCATTCCTCTAAAGCAATCCTAATCAAAATAACAACTGCATTCTTCACAGATTTGAAGAGAAGAGTCACAACACAATTTTTTCTCCACCTACATTTTATAGAGGTTTACAGCCTGGACTCATTTGGCAGGTGTATGGATGATACTTTACATTGGCCCAAAGACCTTATTTCATAATCTGTCACCTCTTGTGTTACCTTCCCATTGGTTAGGAGAGTGACATATAATGACCAGGTAAACTAGGTTTTTAAACTTTTGAATGAATGTCATTGTGATGATAAACCTTGTGTGGTACAGAGTGAGGATGAAGGAGTTGGTTCTTTGAAAGAATAAATAAAATAGACAAGCCCTTAGCCACTCTACCAAAAAGGACAGAAAAGATACAAATCAATGCAAGTAAAAATGAAAAAGGCGAAATCACAATCAGTACTAGCGAAATCAAAAAGATTATTGACAGTTACTTTGCAAAACTGTTCGCCAGTGAATTGGAGAATTTATAGGAAATAGATAGATCCTTAGATACATAGGAATTACCAAAACCTTTGTCCTTACTCTGTCAGCAGTTTGTATATATTCTCTCCAGTGTTAGGTTTTCTCTTCATTATATTGGTTGTTTCCTCTGCTGTGCTGAAACTTCTAAGTTTAATATAATTCCATTTGTCTATACTTCTTTTTGTTACCTGTGCTTTGCTGAGGGAGGGGTCCCAAATATTTTTGTCCATTCCAGTGACCTGAAGCATTTCTTCTGTATTTTCTTCTAGTAGTTTCATAGTTTTAGGTCTTGTGTTTAAGCCTTTAATTCATTTTTAGTTGATTTTGTAACTGGTGAGAGAGGTGATTTTGTAACTGTGAAAGTCCAGTTTCATTCTTTTGCAGGTTGCACCATTTGTGAGGTGAGCACCACACGGCTTATAGATGCCTGTGAGAAGTGGTGAGCAACAGCGTGACCGGCACTCGGCACGGGGCTTCCGAGACCTTATCTAAAGACTTCACTGTACAACTGCTTGTTCCTAACCGGTCCCCTTCCAGTTAATCCTTCTCAATATCTCGCAAGGGTGGATACGAAAGTTTGAGTTTTAAGTCACATTATTTGCTTTCTTCTTTCAGATCTGTAAGAGCAAAGCTAAAGAATCTCAGCAGTATTATCACAGCTTGGCTGTCCGGCAGAGTCTGGCAGTCCACTTCAACATCCAGCAGGACTGTGGTCATTTCCTCGCCGAAGTTCCTAACCGTCTGCTTCCCTGGGAGGATCCTGATGCCCCTGAGAAGGCAGAGGATGAAATGGAAGAGAGGGCAGAAGAAGTGAAAGGAGAAACTGGTGGGGGAATACCAGAGCCCGGCTGTGAAACTGAGTCATCCCAGAAGGAGAGTCAGGAAGTCCCGAACAGGAAGCAGAGAAGCCACGTTGTAGTCATCACCAGAGAGGTTCCCCATCTCACTGTGGCCGATTTTGTGCGAGACTCTCTGACCCATCACAGCAAAAGCCCAGATGTGTACGAGAGGCAGGTGTGTCTGCTGCTGTTACAGCTGTGCTCTGGCCTCGAGCACCTCAAGCCCTACCACGTCACACACTGTGATCTCCGCCTAGAGAATCTGCTGCTTGTCCACTACCAGCCAGGGAGAGTCACCCAGGGCCCCGGGCCTGCAGAGCCCAGCCTCATCTCCTCTGGTCCCTCGAGGCTTATTGTGAGCAACTTCTCTCAGGCCAAGCAGAAGAGCCACCTGGTGGATCCAGAGATCCTGCGGGACCAGTCCCGCCTCGCCCCGGAAATCATAACGGCCACTCAGTATAGGAAGTGTGATGAGTTCCAGACAGGCATCCTCATCTATGAGATGCTGCACCTGCCCAACCCCTTTGATGAGAACCCTGAGCTGAAGGAGAAGGAGTACACACGCGCAGACCTGCCTCGCATTCCTCTCCGCTCCCCGTACTCCCGCGGCCTGCAGCAGCTAGCCAGCTGCCTCCTGAACCCCAACCCTTCTGAGCGCATCCTCATTTCTGATGCCAGAGGCATTCTCCAGTGTCTCCTCTGGGGCCCCCGTGAAGACCTCTTCCAGACCTTTGCTGCCTCTCCAAGCCTGGTGCAGAGGAACGCCCTGTTGCAGAACTGGCTGGACATCAAGAGAACCCTGCTGATGATCAAGTTTGCTGAGAAGTCCCTGGACAGGGAGGGTGGCATAAGCCTCGAGGACTGGCTTTGTGCTCAGTACCTGGCTTTTGCCTCCACAGACTCCCTGGGCTGTATTGTGAAGATTCTGCAACCCCATTAATGTGGCCAGGATGCTGCTTATATTACATGTCCTCCTCTTCATGTCACCCCACACTTCGCTGTCCTGTTCTTCACCCAGAACTCAAAGGATGGAGAGAGCCCTCCTGTTCCTGTCCATGAACAAATGGGTCCATTCAGGAGCTTCCCCACCGCTCCAGATCAAGTAAGAAGCTCTCTTAACTATAGAAGTGCAGCTGCACAGACAAATGGGAGCACCCTCCATCCTCACAGTCCCCTCCATGCAGTGAAAACTGCAGGTGCATCTCCTTGAAGGGACCCTGTGGTCTGAGCTCAGGGAGCTGTGTTCGGTTCCCGTGTAATTCTGACAAGCACTCGTCTTTTAGCAGCAAGTATCTAGTCTCGCTATCAATAGCCAGATACAGCCAGCCTCTGCCAGCATCTAACCAACTCTCCAGCGGCCATCTCCTTCCTTTCAGTTGTCAGTAACGGAGTCTCTACCATGCAGACCTTCCATTCTTAGCATCAGCTCCAGTTTTGTTTGCCAGGACTGTGTCCTTTGTTCCAACAGGCAACAGAAAGAAAAAGAGATTCCTGTCCCGTGGGCCGGAGACCCATTTTCATTTCTGTTACCTGTAAGTGTGTGCACTGCACAGAGAATGGCCTTAATAGCCTCCCCTCTGCTGCGACTGCCTAGTTCTTCACCTCTACTCTGTCCCCACTTGTGGCCCATTACAGAGCTGACCCTTAGTGGTGTCACCAATGCCTCAGCAGGGTGCAGCAAGTTGAAAGCTTATGAATAGCTTGCAGGGCATGAGAAGATGATTTTCTCGCATGTGCAATTCACTAGGGGCCACAAAGGAACAGAGCTTAAAACACCATGCTTTCATTGCTGTCAGAGCTGTCAGTATTGGCCGCCAAGGTCAGCAGGGCCTGGATCAGAGCTCTCCTCTGAGCAGTGATTGGCCAGCTTCCTCCTATCAGTAGCCAGGATTAACTGGTTGACCAAATGCTGTACACACAACCCTAAATGAAGTAGCATCCATTTATCTCTGAGGCCTCCTTAGATGGCAATGTGAGAGACTGACTACTGCAGTGGTCAGAAGACAAAGGGAAATGGTCACTGATGAGACAGCTGGCCTCTTCCAGAGAGTCTGCGCCATGGCCTGAGTGGCACATTGCTCCCAGGACTTTGAAGTGACTCCAGAGGACAGCTCACAGGAAGGCAGATGGCTGAGGGGCTGGCTGAGAGCTGTCCACCATGGAGCCGTGCTCCTCTGTGATGGATGTATGTGCAATTTCTGTCTGTATTTCTTAGCTGTATATTACAGTATTCATGTTGCAACTTCATCTGAAGCAAGATCTGCAGAAACCCTTGCTCTTTCCTCTGCACCAAGCCGAGTATTCCTTCCCCCGTGTGTGCATGTGCCCATTTGTTTATTCAAAACTGTGAGTATCTGTTTACTTCAGCTTCGAGTCCCAAGAGTCGCTCACACGGTGTGTGTGCACACATGCTTAGGGCGGAGGCCAGGCCTCAGGAACAGCCTGTGGAAGGGCCAACAGACCTGTGCTCTGCAGTCAGTGAGGCACTTGGGCCCTCCTGCCTGTGTGCTTTCCCAAAAGCCGAGATGGACTGTGCAGTATTACTTAGATGGCACATTAGTGGCCTTGGAAATTTCTAAACTCTTACTATTTTAACAGCCTTTCATGTGATTCACCTGTATCAAAGAGGATCAAGAAAGGAAAAGAATGTTTTTTTTTTTTTTTTAAGAGAAATGACATCTGCAAGGTTCTATCTATAAGAGACCCTTGCCCTCCAGGACTTTCGGGAAGGCAGGCTGGCTGGCCCTGGAGTCTTGTCTTCTCTGCACAGAGGGCAGGCTTGGTCCCTCTGTCCTGTGGCTTGGCTGCCTTGCTGACAGGTGGTATTTGGTTCAGCGTGCAGAGCCACGAGCACATAACTCCTTGCCTGATCATGCACTGAGCGGGCCATACACAGACCCTTGCCCACGTCAGCACCCCCACCTACGGTTTGCAAATTGAGACATAGCTTCTCAATGTCATTCCGCGGTGCCTTGCCCAAGTAAATTTGAATGTTGACTATTTAATGAGGTTACATATTTAATGCAGAATGTTCCCCGGTCCCTCTGTTTGTTCTGTCCAGAGGTAGCTTTGTTTTTTCCATTTTCCCCGCTACGACTTGGATCCAGTCTCCCCAGTAGAATAGGATGGGCACCTCCACTACCACTGTCTGACAGCACTGGGAAACTGAGCACCTCTTCATACCACATGAGTCTATTACTGTTTTTATGACCACACTTGTGAAGAGCCCAGGATGCATGCCAAGGAGTCAAGAAGGGCCTCCAGCCTCTTCGGACAATGGCAAAGGAATGTGAGGGGAAGAGAGAGAGGAGGGAATGACAGGTTAGAGCAGAAGAGAGAAAAACTATTTCTAGGCAAGATGCACATCAGATGGTCCTCAGAATATTTCCAGAATAATGAAATGCAGTCTAACATTATGAATGCTTTATACTTCCATTTTAATTTTGATAGAAACTTGGAATTCATTTATCAACTGGAAATTCTGCCCTCTGTAGACACAGTTACACATTTTTATACATATATGTGTATATGAGTTTTGGATTGCAAACAGCATTGAATTTTTTGTCCAGTACCATCAAGTTACTGTCCTCAATACTGATTGGAGTGTTTTTCTTTTCTGTTAGAGTCTGTACTATGGATTCTTTCATTTCTGTTGAGCATTTGAACAATTAAGCAAGCCCTTATAGAACAGCTCCCTAAGCCACACAAGCATGAACAATCTGACATGTTTGGGTCCTGGGGACCCAGTGACTGGAGCAGCTGGGACCAGGCGTGAATGTATCACAGAGTGCCTTGTTGGAGTGCAGCGCTGCCCTGGCAGGATGAATGGGGTTCTGTAGAGAGGACAGGGTGGCAGAGAGCCCTCTAGAAAACGTATAGCAGTGTGCTGTGCAGAAGCTAAGCATGAACAACCCGGGTGGGAAAGGCTGCTACAACCTGTGGAGCCTCAGTGTGAGAACCGTGAGTGGGGCCATCAGCTTGGGACTGCAGTGCCTGGCGATGTCTCTCAGGACATTTCCTCAGGGCGAGCTGGGTGAGGGACGCACGGAACACAGCACCCGCACCACCTAATTACTGAAGGGCTGGGAGTGAAACACATGAAGATTTCGTGTCAGACAGGCAGAGACTAAGTCTGCTTCCAGGCTCAGAGGATGCCTGTGAGCATGTAAAACTCTGAACCTGTAAGAAAGCCAAGGGCATTTCTGGGAGTACAATTACCTATAATTATATTTCAAAGTTTCTAGTATTAGAAAATTTCCATGCAAGACTTTCAGAGCGCTTGGAGTAGCTCAGCATAAAAGGATTGTACTCAGCTTCCTACATTGAAATGGTGAACAATCTGGCACTGAGCAGTCATGTGACATTTGATTTTGCTGGGAATCTGCAGTTAGCATTTTGCCATAATTTTACTACAAGTGATGGGGAAACACGTAGTCTAGCCCTCGAAGCTGGGTGGCTGCGCTCATGTATTTCAGGTGACAGCAGCCGTGTGAAGTGTGAGCACCCTTGGGAACCTTGCCAATGGAGAGCACTGAAGCTGTGGTCCAGGGCAGGTGCTGCCCTTGCCGGGATGTGCACCAGAGCCAGCTGGCCATGCTCACCCCAGCACTGCCCCTAGGGGCAGAGCAGGAAGCCAGGAGAGCCACGGTGCTAGGTTGTTAGCTAGAGAGGATACCAAAGAAATCAGTCTTTCTGTCTAGATGTTTCTCAGATGGTGAGGCTAAGATACTGGGGAGGAGAGTCCTCATACATTCCATATCAGCTCTTTAGCTGGTAAAGTAAGTCCATCCTCAAGAAAGCACCTGTTCTCTTTTAAGAAGTCCATCTTGTGTATTAGAAGAGGAAAAAAGATTGCTGATGGTGCTGGTCCTGGTGATGGTGATGGTGATGGAAGAAGCCTGGGCAGACAATGAAAATCCTGGTGTCTAAGGAGACGGAACCTCTCCCACCCAACCATAGCATGACTGGCCGAGTCCTCGGCATGGGAACATCACGACAGAATGATCACGAGGCCCAAGTGTGTGTTTGTTTTAAAGATATAAGGTAGTTTTAGTAGATATGTTTAAAGTACTCTTGGGAGTTTTCTTACTACATTGTACCATTTTTATAAACCTTCCTATGAAGCTGTTTAGCATTCAGCATCCTTCCACTTAGTATTTATAAGTGCCCAGACTGTACAAGGTGCTATACAGTTGTTACACAGCTCCTCTCCACAGCTGTTGGAAATTAGCATAGACTTCCGCATCGACACTGCCAGAAGCTTTGCCAGCCCAGGAGGTGCTGCAGGGGCCTGCATTCCAAACCCCCATCACTCACTCACTCCCAGGGCCTCTGGTCTCTTCCCCATTCCACACACCCCATGGTTTTTGTTTTTTTGTTTTTTTTTTTTTTAAATCAAGAAAGTTTCAGGGAATCAAAAGAGGTCAGAAGTTTTTTAGCCTAGCAGAACTACAGAGGTATATATTTTGCTACGAATATTATTCTAGTACAGGAAACCCACTTTGCCCACTCGTGTGTGGCTGGTATGTATGTTTGCAGTCTTGAGTGTTACACCAGCACTGAGGCTTCGGAGTGGCCTTGCGGGAAGGTCATTCACACTGCTCCAGCAGGCGCTACCCTTGCTGACTGTTAAGAGTGCTGCGTGTGAACGTGGGCTGGGATTTCTGTGGATGACGTGCAGGGCATTTTCATGTGAGATCAGAGATCAAGAAAGAAGCAAGATGTCTGCCGTCTGAACCGTGACGGCTCTCATTCCAATCTCTAATTCTCCAGGGCCCTGCTCACACTCTATATTTGAAAATCTTGTTCTCTTGCTCTTTGCAGGGCTTTACTCTCCACTTACATGTTCTAGAATTGTATAAATCTGACAATAACAGGTCCCCTGTCACCAGTGGTGCTGCCTTTTGGTTTGCTGTGGTACTTGCTGTGTACTCTGTGGCATCGTGTTACTCTGTAAATAAACTCATTTTAATATGCACTAAAAACCAGATTTTTTGCCTTCATCCTTTCTGCAACATGTACACACTAATGCCAGGACAGTTTGGACAGGACGGACGCTTGTCCTTAAAACAGAAAATGACCTGCCCTTGGGGTACTCTCCCCTACTGGCCTGGAGTGCATCTTCCCTTTGGTCTCTTTCTCTTCTGTGAAAATTAAGGCAGGGAGAAAAGGGAGCCCGAAGCTCCCTCAGCCCTGAGAAGCCACAGGTTTGCTGTATGTGGTCGCCCCCTGGTGGCCAGTCTCCTGCAGGCCTCCGGGTCTGCTGCACTGTGGGGAGGCCTGGCTAACTGCTGACTTTCCTGGAATCACAGAGCTATGCAGTTAGTGTGAGCAAGAGCAGATCTCAGAAAGCAGGGCCCACAAACTCTGCATCTTTGGCCTCACAGAGGCCAATGAGCTGATAGGCTGGCACTCTGGTAGCAGGCAAAGAGTTGAATTAGTGGTAGTAACAGCTCCTGTGCTATTGGAGTGGGATAGAGGAACATGCAGATTGGGAGGCGTCAGATTTAGAACCAGTCTTAGGGTTCTGGTCCCTGCTGTGGATACTGCCTGAAACCTGCATTTCTGTTCTGCCTGAAGAAGCACCCTAGAATTTGAAAGCCATGGTTTAGTGACCTTTCTAGAAAAGTGGCTACCAGATGAGAGTTTTGTATTGCCAAGGAGCAAAACCCACATTTCTATGGACCTACACTGTTCCCAGGGCCCAGGAGGATGCCACCAATCAGAAGGAACATAGGAGTACACAGGCTTCTAGGAGACAGAAACAAGGGAAGAACTGGGCTGGGGCTGGGAGGTCAAAGGGGGGCGCCCTGGGGCCTTGGGCTGATGGCCCTAGCTGGACAGGGCAGAGGGGAGATGGGGGTCAGCAGCACCAGTGGAAGCATAAGCTGCTGATTCTCTACACACCTACTCGGGACTTTGGAGTAGGAGTCACCTACCGCCTCTCTACCACCCCACCTGCAGGGGACTGTTCTGGGAGCTCCCGGTGGGAAGCCAGTGAATCTCATCTCACTGGGTTGTGCAGAGGCCATGGGCCACTGACACCTGCCTGGAGCTGTAGAGTAACATTTTTCAGCCCGTGCCACAGAGCCTGGATTGCTTTCGCACCAGGTATAAATGGGCTGGGAGCTCCTAGGGTGCAGGGGTCCTACACATACACTGCTGCTGCAGGAGCTCCGCCTGCTCTCCAGGGCCCAGCAAATCACACTTCCTTGTAAGGGAGCCTGCGCTTCATTAGCGCCTTAGGAGACAAGAACTGTGGGTCACAACTTGACATCAAGAGTAGCTCAAGGCAATGACAGTTGAAACTCTAAAAATTAGATTTCACAATGGGTGGGGGCAGGGGGATTGATTCCACAAGCTGGGTCTCACATTGCAGATCTCCAAGAGGAGACAGACCGCCTAACCCTAGGCACGACCCAGCTTCTGAAGATCCCAGGTAACCCTCTGTGCACATGTGCATGCACACACACACACACTCCATGGAGTACCTCTCTGGCCCTCTGGAAAGTACAGGAAACAGCTGGAAGGCAGAGTGCCGTGGCTTCCAGTCTCAGCTAATGAATCCAAGGATCTTGGAGGGCTGCTGGGCAGTCTGCAAGCATGGAAACCAAGGCCCTCTACAGAAGCAGCCACCTTTCCCAGAGGAGCAGAGACTCTGCCTTGGGGTGCAGGGCAGTGCTCTCCTGTCTGGCCCCTGCTCAGCAGCCAAGCAAGAGCGGGAGTCTGAGCCAGAGCAAAACCTTCCAGCCGATGGTCCAACCTGATGGTCCATCTGATAACTCACCCTTGCCACAGAGGCGTTTCCTTCTTCACTTCCCCCAGAGGCAGAGGACACCTAAGCCTCTCCAGTGGCTGCCTCTCCACCTGCAGCCAGGACTCTGGCTGAACCAGGAAGAACCAAGTTTCCACCCTGCCCAGCCTTCCCTGCTGCACCCCTGCAAGGCTTTGCACACCTCCCCAGGGTGGGGGTGTTCTGTGCTTCTGAGCTTCCCTGGCAACTCTTCTCTTCAGCTTCCCAAGGGCAAGGCAGGTGTCAGTTCCAGGTACCTCTGTGTCCTGGCCTGGGCACTGCCTACCAAGCCCAAGTGCAGTTCAGAGAGCACAGAAATGACTACAACATGCATCTCTCCGTGGCTAGCTGTCTGCCCCCAACCCCTGCCATTCAAACACCATATGCAGATCCTTTCTTCTTATTTTGCAGATGAGGAAAATGAGGCCCATTTTCACTCACCAATCAATGCTCATTTTACAGCTAGACTGTGGACTTAGGCCGTGCTGTCCTCCCCACACCTGCCAGCTGTGCAGGGCACAGGCTTTGAGGACAGCTGGAGTGAAGACAGCAGGAAAGAGCAGCCTGGGGGAGGCAGGGGGACACTCACAGGATGGGGCTTTGTGCTTCTGTTCTTTTCATCAAGTGGGACCCAGCTGAAAGGGTCCCTTACCAGCTCTTAGAGGCAGGCAGGCTGGGGGGCGGGAGGGTAGGGATTGAACACAAAATACAGTAGAAGCTTCTGCCCAGAGCTGGGGTGCGGAATGACTCCCTGTCCCTGGAACCCAGAGACAACCTGCTGAGCCATTTATCCCCAGAAAGAGGAGGTCCCAGAGTGTGTCTCACCTCACCCCAGGAAAGCCCTAGGTAGGACCCTGAGACCAGCCTTTGTGTCCACACTGGGTCAGCCACAGCCTCCCTGCCCTGGGGGCCAGAAATCTCTTGGATGGAGCTTGGGCATATGTCTTAGTTTCTGTGAACCCCACCATCCCTATCTGTGGAAGGGGCCTTGCCTGCGCCCCAGGTCTCCCCAGTACCAGTACTCCCAATTCTGCCCCCACTTTGACCTCCACCTACCTTGGAATGCCAATGCATCTGGCCTTTCAAAGTGGACAAGGAAGGGCCAGTGACCAGTGACCAGGAAGGGCAGAGGACCTCAGACGCTGTGCCTGGCAGATAAGGGGGTGCTCTTCTCCTTGGGGTGCTGTGCAGCGATGCTGGCCGGGGCTGCTTCCTACTCTCTAATTTTACTTCCACCACAGCCCTGTGAGGTCCTTTCCAGAATCAGCTACATTTTATCAACAGGAAAACAATTTCATTTGCTCAGGTTGCCGGTGAGGAAGATCTGTCCCCATTAGTCTGGCTCCACCCAGCCACTGACCAGCACTCAGGCCACCCTCTCTGCTTTTCCTACTGTCCCTGCCCCAGTCACCAGTGGCTTCATGGTGCCCAGCTGAATACCAACTGCTGATCAGGCCAGCAGACAGCTTTGAGAATCCTTGCCCCCCACAGTTCCTATCCCCTCTCACTGCTCTCCAGGGAACCTGTCAACCCAAAAGTGTTGGAATGACTCCCACGGAAACTCTGTCACCCACCGGCCACCACCTTGTCCCAGACTGAGCTCTTTGCCTAGTGCTGTTTCCTGGAACACCAACTACAGACTGAGTACAACAACAAACTGGCCCACAGCTGCTGGCAGGAGGGCTGGGGTTGGAGCCCAGGCCTGGCTGGCTGGCAAACCACTCCTCTCTGCACCATCACAAGGCCCCCATCTAGCAGCCAGGTCATGTCCTGTCGCATCACTGTGGGGTGGCAGAGAATGTGAACAGGAAGAAAAGGGTCGCCATCAGATCCAGGTCTCCTTTCTATGAGACCCGAACTAGGCTTTTGCAGTCTCCAGGCAGGCACCAATCGCAGCTCTGACCCACCTGCGACCCTCTTGGGAGGCCCTGAGCAGATATGCTCCCCACACTTCGGCAGGTGGGGGAGGAAGGCAAAGCTTGTCACACAAGTGCACAACACTATCCCCCAGCAGCTATCTGTGGGCTTTACCTCTTCTCCAGCAGGGGCCTTCAGAGCAGCCTCTGGACCCACAGAGCAGCTGAGTGGCCACCAGCCTCTAGGAAAGATATTGTCACCTCAGTTCCCCGTTCTCTCTTCATTGGAGAGGGGTTATCTGACCCCCTTCCTCACTTCCACTCCTAGCCTGTCATGGGAATCACATGGGGGCTCCACTCAGACAAAAAGTGACATTGGGAGGCACAACATCTACAAGTCATGTCTCACTCGACTGTACATCATAGACACATTGAGCTTCTTGAAAGCAGCCTCTCCCACTAAAAATGATACCATTCTACAACACCGGTGTAAATTTTGTTATTTCTGCATCTCTGGCATTCAGTCCCATGCCGACTCATGACTAGAAATTTGAGAAACCAGAGAATTCTCCTGAGAATAATAAAAGGAGATGCAGATCATCAAATCCTCTTCTCAAACATCTTAATAAAGTTTGAATTTAAAATATCAGTGGGGTTTTTCTAGGGTGAGAAACTAAGAAATCATTCTCAGAGTCACTTGGAAGAATGAATAGATGAAAGAAGCACAAATTGTTGAAACTGAGAGCTCAAATGTTGAAGCATATGAAAAAGCTATGGATAATAAAATGGTATGAGATAGGGTAGAAGCAGAAACAGGTCAACATACCAGAATAGTAACCCAGGAATGAAACTGGCATCAAAATGGAATCTAGGATGAGTAAAACACACTGCACGGAAAGAAAGAAAGGAAGAAAGAAAGGAAGTCATAGCCAATAAATGGGAAGGGTCCCGTTGCTTCACAATTTGGAAAATATTATTCTGCACACCGTAAGCCAGTATAAATTCAAACAGATCAAACAAAGAGTTATATACACAAAGAAAAGGAAAAGAGAAAAGAAGCCCTAAGAACTAAGTCAATATCTGTTTTATCTCTCATTGAGAAAGGATTTTTTTAAGCCAAGAAGCAACAGGAGGCCTCTGAAAGGAGAAGATCAATAGGTTTGACTGAAGATGATAAACATTTGTCCCCCGAAAACATTAGAAACCACACTGAAAAGTAAAGAACCAGGAAAACTATTTCAACAAATGTAACAGCTATGGGTTAAATTCCTGAGTTACCAGGAGCTCACACAAATCATCAGGAACATGGAATGCCACCAGACGGAGGACAGACACA